CCTCTCATGTTAAAGAAACCCCAATTGAGCAATCTTATCATTGACCATAAATATGAAACCACAACACAGAAAAAACTACAGCAGAAAGAGATGCAGATACAAGTAGGAAGAACGAGATGGAGATAGACAATCCCATGTTTCGAGTCCGGGAGCCACGCAATGCGGCCATTTATCACGCACTCGGAATTGACCCAAGTGACCGAAAAAGAGAGGCAAGAGACGGGAGACAGATACAAATACAAAGAACCAGACTTCATGCATGCCAATGTAATAACATTAAAAGCGTGATGGTGCCACACCGCCGCACCGCACCGCACCCCACCCCACCACACCATACCCCACCGTTCGAAACCCACTAGCGATAAGACAAAGAAGCATAACTATAAAAATATTAAAGTGCAGATCGCCTCAAGCGCCAAAATACACGCGCCAAATCTCGCACAGAGATAGAGCCAGAGAGAGAAAGAGAGAGAGAGAGCAATGCCAGATGACTCTCTATCTATCTGTTGGAATGAGTGAGGACTGTGTTTGGGGAACATAGAACACGCCCTACAATACTCGTACTCATGGCTGTCAATGGAATTGTATAGAATACAGTGGGTAGATGTTTGCTTCTATTTTTCATTAATTGGTTTCGAGTTTTGAATGGAAACAAACACTTGAAAGAGGTGGAAATACTTAGAAGGGAATAAAAGCAATATTGGCACATGGGAATGGGGAGATATATTACGAAATCTATCTTCAGCATATGCGGTTTGCAGCTGCAGAAGAGCGGCATCTGTTTGTTCGCTATACGAAGTTTGCAAGTAACGGGGATCGAAGTGAGTTTTTTTTAGTTTAATTTAAAGTGTTTTATCAATTTATTTTTCATTGCTTTAATTTTTTTTTACTTTAAAATTATATAAATAATTTATTTTTTTATAATTTTTTTTTTAATAATAATTTTGTCATTTATTTTTTAAATAAATTTTGTCTTTTTTTTTAATTTATTTATTTGTCTTTTTTTATATAAAGGGAAAGAAACTTTGCAGTTAAATCAATAAGCAATCTCTAATTTAGCAGGCATTTCTTAATTAAAAAAATTCAACATACAAAAAACTCTAATAAAAACACACTTAAAAAGCTCTCACACAACCCCAGCATTTTCAGGCATCAGAAACAAAAGTTCTCAACACTCAAGAGAGAGCAGAAAAACAACGAAATGCCAAAATGCCAAGCATCCTCCAACAATTGCTCACCCGCATACACATTCCCCCCACCACCTCCTCCCACACACACACACCCACATATGATGGGCGGGGGAGGTACACATATTGCAGTACATATCCTCGAGAGCATTTCAAAAAGTGCACGAAACTGCATTGTCAGATTCCTGCCACCTCCTGCACAGCACCCACATCATTCCTCATCGCACCACCCCCACCCCCCACCGACCATTTCAGCCAATGAAAAACCAATGGAAGCCTCAGTTCGTACACCGCAAAGTGAAATTTCATGACGTTGAAGCCTCCACAAACTGTGTGGCGTCTGTCAATAAAGAAATAATAAAAGAAAAAAAAAGGGGTGGGGAGGGGAAAAGACAGAGATCCAATAGCAAATAATATGCGGCAAAACTGCTGACAGACTGCCAATAGAGATCGATAGGGAGGCAGGCAGACAGACAGACAGACAGGCAGGCAGTCATATCGACATTTATGCCATTATTATCCATGGCAGAAAATTTAATTAACGCAAAGACAAAACTTTGCCCAAGACAAAAGAAAGGAAGGGAGGAAGGCAGGGAAAAAGGAAAGCTCCCAACGACATAAAAACGAAAATCGACATCAAAGTCAATGGGCAATTAAAAAGTTTTATAAACCAAAGAGAAGAAGGAGAAGAGGATTCCCCGTCCGAATTGCTAACAAAAGTAGCCAAAAAGTGTTGTTAAAAAAACACAGAAGGAAAACTTCTGAAAACATTTAAAAGTTTTTATTTGTTATAGTTGCAGGAGGTGGGGTAGGATTATGCACATATTTGCACAGTTAATTGAATTGAAAAAGGAAAGCAGCAGAGTAGACAAAAAAAAAAAGTGTTGCATTTCATAAGAGAAAGAGCAGCCAGGCACTACTTAATTTTCCACTTCAAGTTTCCGCATTATACGATGCAGCTAATGTATTTCACTCGGACTGGCACTGGCAGCAGCCCACACACACACACACACACACACACACACTCGAAGAGATAAATCATGTTCATGGCGACCCATTTTCCAGCGGCCCAACACACCACCTTATGGTATAGTAATCCACAGCATCGAACCTCGAACCGGAGCCAGACCACACCAGATCATGGCTCTGCTCATGAGGCGTTGGAGTCGCACAGAAAGAGTCAGGGAAAGACTCAGCGAAAGAATCATAGAAATACTCAAAGCCCAAAGCAAAAAGAATGAAAAATTCTGAGCAGACATAACTTTATTGCAATTATTTCCCCGGTTTGCACGACGACGACGACGACGACGACGACGACTTTTGTTGTTGTGCACTTTTATGGCTTCGGAAAGTTGGTTCCTGTTCTGTTCGGTTGGAAAAATGCTGGCAAAAATTGACATGAAACTCTTCACAAGTACAGCAGCAACACCAGCAACAGCAACAGCAGCAGCAGCAGCAATTGAATGAATGAATGACCTGCCTCCAACACACTTGAGTGCACTAGGAAATTGGTAAAAGTTCGACGGGAAAGAAGAAACAAAACTTTCAATCGGCTTAAAGTTTCCATCGAAATTCCCATCCATCCATCTATCTGGCCATCAGGTTGATTTGCTGGCAATTGGCACGTACCTCTATGGGGCTTGACCTTGAGACCAGACTTTCCCACACCTAACCATCAGGTGGGCGTAGCAATAGGGGGGTGAGTAGGGGGTGGTGTGGGAGTGAGCAAGACATAAAAGATTTATACCGTCTGCCTGTCTGGCCTCGATAAATTTGATGGTGAAAGGTGTGTGTGTGTGGGTGGAGTGGAGTGGAGAACTCCGGGGAACTCTCTGGCCATAAAATACTTTATAGCCATTCAACATTGTAGACAGACCATAAAATACCATAATAGAGCGCTACACCATCACCATCACAACACCCCACCCCACCCCATTCCTCCGCATGGAATGCAATTCAAACTTTATTTTATTTTGAGATGAAAATTGTTACACAAGTAAATTTTTCGTAAATGAAATCTACTTCGGAGGGGCCCCGGTGGTGCCCTGTCATCACATGAGAGAAAAATGTCACCCAAAAGTAGGCAAAAGTTGTGTGTGCCATGCCCTCCTCCCCTCAACACACAGCGTGTACTTTTGTCTGCCGCGGAAGTTTATCAGACACTTGCCCCCCCTCGTGACTTTTGTTGACACACACACACACACACACACACACACACAAAGATGCTACTACATACGTACATTCGCAAGGAAGCCTCTAAAATGGGATATGACAGGAGGCAACTTGGCGGAAAAAGCTGAAAAGTTGAATGCAAAAGCTGACTTCCATGATAAGCGAAGCGAATGAATGAATCCCTCAAAGCAGTTTCCACCCAAGACTTTTTGGCACGCCATCAGATCAGAGGCACGGAGATGTTGCACACAAACAAACAAAAAGCAGCACATTTTAAGGTACTTTACTGCCGCAGCGCAGCAGCTTTTGGTTGCTTGCCACCTCGTAAATTGTGCCACAAAGTACACGGCGTAACCACTTGAATTAATGGACTCCTGGGCTGATGACAATGATGATGGGGGAACTATGGCAAGATGTGGTGGCAGAGATTAGGCACGGCCTCTTTTAAATTATACCCAACAATATATGTTTCCTATTTGCATGACAATTGCATTCGAAAAGTGCATTTTAATTTGGATTTATCATAGCATACTTTTGGGTGGAATAAAGAAATCAGATCTATGAAAAAGGATGGAAATTGCTCATCCAATTCACAATCTTTATAGAGAAATATAAAAAGGCGAAAATATCACTAAAGAAATCCAGGGAAATATATTAATTTCTCGTGGATAATTTCTGGAAGGAATAGGGTATCGATAGAGTTAACACATAATTCCAAACAAGGAATAATTAAATAATAATATAGTTCCAAGAACATTAAAAAACAAATATAATGTCTATGAAAACTAGGAGTATATTATTATGCTGAAATTAATTTGAAGTTGCAAAAACAGAATCCATATCCATAAATCTTTGTTAAGCTCAGAATTAAGCATAAAATGAAGTCAATATTCGACTTATTTTCTATCAAAAGATTTTCTTAATTTCCCAAATCAAATGGAGCCAAGAATTTTGGTGTTAAAGGAAGAGCATTTGGATATTTCATGTTATAAATTTTTAATTGTTTTGCATTATTTATGAAATAGCTAAACGTCCAATTATTTTCATATATAAGAATTTCCAGATAGGCGAAGGTATGCCTATTAAATATTTTTATGTACCCAATTATGAAGAATCTACTAATTGTTTTAGAAGTATACCGAATCGAGAGATATTTAAGACTACAAATAAACGAAAGATTGAATACAAATAACCATGAAATAATAGAAAATATAGCAAAGTCTCTCAACAAAAGCATTAGTTTAACTAGACAATGACAATCCTCATGCATTCACACTGAAATACTCTGAATAAAAGAGCGCTTGCAACTACAAAATTTATCAATTGAAAGCCTTCTTGTGTTTTCTTGGAAGTTATTTTTCGCATAAAGCTCCCAACCTTGTCTACGTCTAAACACTCATGATATATGAAACGAATCTCTGGCTAAATCATTCCACGTGACGTGAAAGCGAAAACTTTGCGACGCGTATTCATGGAATTCAAGGGCGGCCAAGCAGAAGGATTCACACACACACAAACGGAATGCACTCATAATTCACGAAGAGAGAGAGCTTAAGCCTAAGAGCCTCATTTCCATTCCCATATATACCATATGTCCCATCCACATCCACATATCCATTTCCATTTCGTTGGAGTACTCACATTGGTTGACAGCTGGCTGCTTAGGCTGTGCACCTGGTCCCGTGCATCCTGCAGTTCGCGCTTCAATCTTCGTATCTCGTGGGCCTGCCGCTCCTCCGCGGAACCGTAAAGGGAACTGCCGCCCGACAGCAGGGATGCGGCACTGCCGTGCACTGCGAGGATATAGAAATGTTACATTAATCTGCATTTAATGCCCGCCCCGACGGCAGCATATCTCTCTCTCTCTCTCTCTCTCTCTCTCTCTCTCTCTCGCTTACCTTCATCATTCTTCTTGGGATAGGTGAGGCGATGTCCGCCAGTTAGACCGGATCCAGGACCGGGTCCCATACCCATGCCACCACCAACCATTCCAGTGGCTCCTGCGGTCGCTCCATGAGTGGGTGATAGAACCCCTGCAGCAGCTGCTGCCACTGATGCCGCAAAGGGACCACGATTGAGGGGCGTGGGCGAGGTGGGTTGGCTCCAGGCCACGGAACCACCTACCATATTGTTGCCGGAATTTGCCTGCGCGGCCTGTGCCTGGGCCTGTGCTTGGGCCGCCACAGCAGCTGCCATTTGGGCGCTCAACACGCCGTTGGTGCCCACGGGCAGGCAATAGTATGGCTCGATTTCCACATCCCCGCCGCGGCTCAGCATCGAGGGATACATTTTCTCCGATTTTGTGGATCTGCAATGGAATCTCATTAGTCTCGTGTGGGCAGCTCGTAATTTGACAGCAATTTTCGGGGCATGCGATGGATGGTTTGGGTGGTGGTGGTGGTGTTTTCGGTGATTGACAAACGGGAAATGCATTTTCAGTTATGAGAGTGTTTTTCGGATGAAATTTCAAAGTGATTAAAATGGCAAATAAGGCATGAAAATGGGTAAAAATCAAAGATGCAACAGCGAACTCTGGAGACTCGAGAAACTGCAGAATGTACAGCATAAAGGCCAAAAATGTTCATTCAGAAAGATATCCCATCGTTGAGGAGATCAACTATCAAGAAGTAAAACTCTTGGACAAAAAGAGGCACAAGAATCCTATTTTTCACGCTCATTCGAAAGGAAAAATTAATTTTCTACACAGTAAAAAGCAGCAGATATTTCTGTAGACATAAGCTCTTATTTAGCTACAAAATTTCGCAAACAATTCTCTAGTCAAAAGTAAAGAGAACCATCACATCTGCCCTCCAACTCCTCTTTCGTGCATACAAAATACAAACAGTGCCTGCCATAAAGCATCACATTTACTGATTTACATCTCTATTTGTTCAAATTTACCAAATGGGAATTCGGGGGCCAGACACTTGCAAATTTCCGTTTGCGGTTCTACAGTTTATTAGGCCAATCTCTGGGCACACTCTCATTCCAGTGAACACAGCCTGAATGTTGAATACTTTTGGGCTTTTCAGCCACACACAAACACGTATACAGCTGCATAACCACTCCCATTTCCGTTTAATTCTGTTACAAATTCACTGAAAAGTGAAGTGTGTGTGTGCCATGGGCATGATAAGGGTTTGGGGGTATTTGTGGCTGAAGAACCATTGCGTGCTGGCTCCCCAGACAAATTGTCATAAAATGCAGAGATTTTCCAGTCTGTTGATGAACTGGGGACAAAGGATAAGCGATAAGGGATACGGTATGTGGAGAAGAAAGCCAAGAAGTCCTACTGTTCGCTCCACTTCCTGCCTGCCTGCCTGCCTGCCTGCTTGCTCTGTCCCTCAGTTGCTGAATTGTCCACTCTATTCCTGCTGTCCTGTGTCCACATTTCTCTATTTTCCCGCTCTGATAACTCTATGACTTTAATGGCATTTTGCATGCAAATCTAATATTACGTATACGTCATGTGTGTCGTTTCGTGTGTGCGCCCCTCCGCCTCTATCTCCCTATTTGCTGTCATGTGTGCCGCCTCCGTTTGTAACTGTATCTCTCGGCTGCCATGTTTGCATTTCACTGGTGAGACTTGTGTCGGTTTTTCTCTGGAGCCGCCACACACCACACTTTTGTATGTGTGTGGGGGTTTTGGCTGTAAAATTTGATAACAAGCCACCAAACTGGTTTTTGCGGAGGGACTCTCTGTCTCTCTCTCTCTGTTTTACTCTTCAACTTTTCTCACACTTCCGTTTGCATAATTGATGTGTGTGGATGAGGACCATTGAAAGCAAGAGTCCTCTCTCTCTCTCTCTCTCTCAGGGAGAGGGAGCCCCTCTGTCTCTATGGGAGAATGAGTAACAGCAAAAGCAGATTAGTTTCGGAAGGAAAACGGAACTGAAAGAGGAGCCGCCATAGGAGATACAGGACACACAGCACACAGCAGCGGTTTAAGTTTCATTTTGGGGCTGGGCATTGGAGTCCACTTTTGAAAGTGAAATTTTTGTCAACTAATAAATGATTTATGTTGTCATGGAAGCTGTGGAACTTGCAAAAGAATTTATGAAAGCTGCAGTGCTGCGGCAAAAGCATTTTTTCAAAAGGGATAGAGTCATCTTTTTGTTATTCAATTAATTAACAATTATATTGAGTTGTATTGCTCTTATTTGTATGGATACAAAAAAAGAACGAACGTCTAAAGGCTTTTATTTGCGTTTTTATAGAGATTTTTGCAACATTTTGATATTTCATTGAAATAAGAAATATATAAAAAAATGTGCAAAACATTTGATTGAATAAAGCTCTATTAAACATGGAAATCCTTTTGATATTTGATTGGAAAAAAAACCGGCCGTAAAAATAAAGTACAAAAACTATTTCCCACATATTTGCATAGAATTTACCATAATATTATTTCCACTCACCACCGTAAATTCCCTCACATAAAAACCTTCTTTCTACATAAAACCCAAATTAATATCCACCTTCTTTTTTCACCGAATATTTTTCCAATTTAATCCTCATCTCTGTTTTTCCCAGAACTCCCTCTTGTGTTTTACAATTTTTCTACTGCCATTTCCAGAGAGTTGCCTTTTTTTTTGCGCTGCTGTGAAACAATTTTTAATGAAGCACTTGACTTTTGGTCGACACCCAACTGCAGTTGGAGTGGCAGTGGCAGGTCGAAGGACCCCGCATCCACCGCTGACGTGGCAAACAACAGCAGCACAGCAGTGGAGTCGCAGCCAAAATAAAAAAGGAGTTGCAGAGAAGTGGAACTCCGCTCAAGTCAAAGGTTCAGCAAACCTATTGACTTGTCAAATAATAATCTGGCCACCAGCCACAACACCTCCAGCAACTCCAAAAACTCCAGCTGCAGTCCCTTCGGTTTGCTGTTCTTCACGTTTTCATGTTTTCACGTTTCACGTTTTCCATTTGCCATTTTCTCTGTTTTTTTCTTTTTTTTCGGTGTACTCTGTGTTTTTTCTACCGCCCCACACTTGTGTTTTTTTTTTTCGCCCAAAGAACTTTTACATTGTCTGCGGAACCTGAGAACTTTTCTCCTTAACTATATGGGCGTGTCGGGCTGCCTCCTCCCTACCTCCCCTCACTCCCTTGTGTGCGATGAACGATTTTAAGTGAAAACTTTAAAATATGCAGAAGAGCAGCGCGACACATGGGTAAACAAGCATATGGCGGTCGGCGGCCCACGAGACCCCAAAGGTGACTTGGCTTTTGGGTTGGTTGGCATTTAGCCCCACGCGTGGAAAAATGTAAAAAGAAAACTGTTTGCATACTTGAAGGCAAGCACAGGCACAGGCACGGGCACAGCAAGCAAACGAGCGAACGTGAAAAATATAGCGAAAAATGTGTACGTAAATCTATCAAATATGCAGAGAGCAAAGACACAGGACCCGGCTGTAGCCTGTACCCTGGAAAAACAATTTACGAAAGGTTTTTCCTGTATGCAAAGTGGAGTTAAGAAGCTTATGCAGATTAATATTGAAAGTTTTTAATACTTTTTTGGGCTGCCTAATGGAAAATGTAGGGTCTTCTAATAAAATTAAAATGTTTTACATTAGATTTAGCCTGATTTATGCGAGATGGCTTTTACTGTGGTAAAAGTTGAAGTTTACTTAACACTAATTTACAATTTATCTATAAACAACAACAATACATTGCATTCTCCTTGAAAAATTTACTCTAGGCGCTATTAAAAATGCGTTTTAAATATCAGATAAATTTCTACCAAAGACAAAAGAAAATAAAGTAAAGTAAAGGGAAGGGAAGGGTTTTAGTTATCCCACATCCTTTATATCTATATCTATCCATGCTATAAATTTATATTCAACATTTATCGATCATACTTCAGTCATTCCTTTCCAAATATTTGCATCCTTTAGCTTTCCCTGCGAATTTATTTTGCTGCTCTGCATGTACATCCTCTTTCCCCAAGTACATAATGAACACTCGTCGTCGTCGTCGTCGTCTAATGCCTGGAATACAGACAGACAGACAGACAGACAGACAGGCAGACTTCTGCGACAAGTGCAACAGAGTCCCAGACATACACGAAACACGCGTCTGCCGCCTGCACCGCCTCTGCCTGGCCCCGTGTGTGACAGCACTTTGTCATCAAGTATGCAACATGTAAAATGCAAATTGCTGGCGGTATAAAAAGTGGCAAAAGCTGGAGGGAGGCTTGCTGATTGTTTTTGGGCGTGGCAAAGCAAAACCAAAACCGAAACCGAAACCGAAAAATGAAACTTAAATTCCTGTGAGAATGAAATGGGCGAAAAAAGTGCGAAGGAAAACAACTTTTCTGGTCACCTTGGATATGTCCTCTCTTGCAAGTAGCTTTTCGAAGGGAAAACCAACAGACAAACACGAGAAAAATACAGAGAAAAAGGAAAGAAAAATAGGGAGAACAAGAGGAGAGACATATAGAGAGTAAAAAGACAGATAGAAGGTAAAACATGCAGGAAAAGAAAGGATTAGGGTTAGAAAGAAGAACCCACCTGATGCTATTGCTGCGGTTCATGCGTGGACTCTGCACATAGGGCGACTCGTTGCCCTGCATGGGCTGCATTTGCCCACCTGGCGGTACTCCGCCCGATCGATTGTGGATCATTTTGTGGCCATGACGTGTCATCGCTGGCGAACCAATCTGCAGCTGCTCAATGGCATCGCCATCCGAGAGCCGTGATCCAGCCGTATTGCTGTGCTTCAGCCACATGGCATACGAACTGTATTCGGGCTTGACCTCTGCATAGGTCTGGGTGTCCGAGAGGGAGCCATCGTGACGCGTGCCAGGGCGATTGGACATTCTTTGGGGGGGGGGCCAAGGAAAGGGTTTTTATTAATGCTTATTGTAATAATAATTATATATACTTACCTATGCTGAAAGACATGCATATCGCTGCCTGGTTTGGGCAAACTATGCGATCCTGTGGCCAATCGTTCGCGTATCGATTGACTCAGCTGTGCCGCTGTGGGTCCTGTCAACGAGAAGCTGCGACACTGTGTGTTCGGTGGTAGCTCTGTGGAAGAAAACAGAATTAGCATTCCCATTGTCCAAGCATTCTTTGGCATCCACTCACTGCTCATGTCATTGGGCAATGTCTGAGTGCCGGGCGCAATCTTTCGGCCGTTTGCTGTCCTTGGCACCGCCGACACATGGGCGGTTCTGCCGCAGGGCAATCCATTGACCTGCTGCGCTCCTCCTCCGGCTCCTCCGGCTGCCATCATCATGACAATATTCTGCTGCTCTGCCGTGGAGGACATGCTGCCATTGGCCCTCTTCACATACCCAAAGCTGGGGGGCACTCCCTTAGTGCGCGACGAAGACGAGGGCGATCCCTGCTTGGAGGATCCCCCACTGCCACCGCCCATGCTTCGACGCGATGGCGATGACTTCTCCGACGATTTGTCCCCCCCACCCTTCTGGCCATTGAGGGGCTCGGGCATTTTGCTCCAGTTATCCCTGCCATTGCGTGATCCCGGACGGTGGTGTGGACTGCCATCCATTTTCCCACCGTTGTTGTTGTTAATGTGGTTGTTGTTGTGATTGGCAGCGGCAGCGGCGGTGGTGCTGTTGCTGTTGCTGTTGCTGCTGCTGCTGTGGGTGGTGGAGCCGCCGCTGGAGCTGGCCTGACTGGCCGCAGAGCTGCCGTTTGCGGCGGTTCCAATGCTATCCAGAGAGCCTCGACTATTGCGTATTCTGGAAAGTAATCAGAATGGGAAAATTGTGAATTTAGTTTGGGAGGAATATTTGATATTCCTAGACTGATAAAAGCTGCGATTCAGATACGATTCCACAGCTAAAGATCTGCCATTTCTTGCACAGAAACATCCCACAAACTTCTACAGCATTTCACTATAAAAAATACTCATACAAAAAACAAAACCCATTTTGAAAGTTCAACAACTTTTCAGACAAATTGTTTACAGTTCTGTCCCTTCCTTTTTGCACATAAATAAATACGAAAGATGATTCATTGCTGGCTGCAAAACGCTAATTGCCACAGCAATATGCAACGAGACAGCGCAGCAGGGGCACGGCCACAGCCAAACAGAAGAGAAGCTGTTAACGGAAACAACACGGCGTATACTTAATTTACATTACGACCCTTAATGGTGGGAATTATTTATGCAAGTCAACGCTTAAAATTGCCCCAGATACATCTTATATTATTTATAGTATTATGCCAAAAGCTCAGTCAAGTGCGAAAATGATTGCAGGAATTACCAGAGAGCAGCAGGGGGGCAGGGAAATGAGCAGGGGAATTGTAGAAAGGAAATTCTTTCCCAAAATGTAAAGTAAAGAAAAGAAAGGAAAATTCTTTCACAAAATATACAGTAAGTGAGGAAGATTCCCTGTGAAATATTGATTGATGGAATGAAGCATAAAGTGTAAAAGTTAATGCTGATTGAAGCAATGAAATGAGCTGTCCAAACAAATGCCAAATCAACTGGCAAACAATTGTGTTGTGAATCCAAAAGGAAGTAAAATCCCAGACAAAGGCGAACAATGGCTACAATCCCCGTCAGACGGACAGACAGACAATATCCACAAATGCAATGATTGCCAGCCAAGTGGCCACTGGCCAGAACAGCAAAAGAAGGCGTCAAAGAACGACCCAACCGACCGGCCACTTCTGCTTTCAACAAACGGCTACAATTTTCAATTAAAATGACAAAAGATGTGCTCGGGTACGTGCATTTCACTCCTTCAAACAACTCAAGAGCAGTCCTGGCCATGAAATTGCATGTCTAAGCTGCTCTCGCTCTCTCTCTCTCTCTCTCTCTCTCTCTCATTGGGCCAGCACGAAGAGCAGTGTCATGTCTGTTTGGCTTCTATATGTGCGCATATATCAAAACTAATTGGGCGTGTCCGAGTGCGGCAATAAATAATGTTATTTATTTTGTAGTGAAGCGAAAGACAGCAGCAAAAGATGTTTGCTAAAGAAAAGGGGTTTATGGAGGCTATGGAGGTAATGGGAATTATTTCTAGCCAAAGTTTTGATACAGAAATCTTTATAGAAATAAAGAAATCTTTGCTAAGTAGTTCTCTACATTAAATACATAATCTGCCTCTCAGATTTCCAATTTTTGTTATCAAAATAAATGTTTGTACATTTAAAAAAAAAAACCTTCCATAACATAACCATTCCCAAAACTCATTTCATTCACACATTACTCCCTGTCCATTCCATCGCTCCTTTTTTTGCTGCCATTTCTACCATTCATGTTTGTGTTTGGCAAACTTTTCATCTCCTTATACAAGCAACAAAAAAAGAGGTAGTTAAATTTCATTATCTGGAAAAAAGCAAAAGCGAAAAATTGTGCAAAATAGAAAAAAAAAGCGCACAGCGCAAATATTTTTCCATCAGACTTTTGCATTCTGCTTTTCTGCTTTGGCATCAAATTTAATAATATCAATTTGCAGGCAGAATTTCCTGATGGGCGATCCACAATCTACTACAACGAATACGAGACTCTGGGGCTTCGGCACTTGATTTGATTGCACAACAAGGAGGAGGGTCGAAAGGAGAAACGAGAGAAAAGCCTAATAAATTAACTAATTTTTGCTGCTGCTTTTCAGCGCGATTTTCAAATGCGATTAAAGCTATAAAGCACTGTGAAATGTATGTTACTATGATTTAAAGCGGCCATGATTTAAAAGCGGAGGCATAAATGGCATCAGAGGAATAAAAGAGAACATGAAGGAACATTTTAGTACAGAATTTGAGCTAGAAGATACCCTCTACTAACCAAACATTTATGGGAATTAATAAATTTTGAAAAAATACGAAAATTATACAGGCTTTATTGATAAATGATATAGGCAACACAGAGCTTCAAAACTCTCTCTTCAGTAGGGTTCTTGTTATACTAAAATTGGCTCAAATAAAGATAAAAGGATTGCTTTAATTATGGTCCTGTTTGTTTTAATGATCCTATTCTGATGTAAATGGGCAGATTTAAATTTGAAAATTACATATACATATTTGGTATTTTTTTTAAATTTATATTTATGTAACGCACTTTTAGTATGGCTTATATCTTACCGTACGCTCGACTATTTTTTTGATAATTAGGTCTAATCCCATTTATTTAAATCGGATAACTTTTTACCAAATTAGGTCTTTTTTGAAACGTAACGCCAGAGAACTGAACAGTTCGAACTCAAACCCTGATAGTTTTGTATAAGTAATGTAGGAGCTAATTCGCTCCTGCTGTTAAAATATTCTGATGTAAATGAGCTGTGCAACATATTTTTTTTTTTTTTTTTATTTAAATAAATATTTAAAAAAAAACCCTATGTCCCTTTTTAAACTTTAAAGCGCTTTCAATAGCATAATTTCTGCAGTCGTATATCCCTGCATGCAACGACTACTGGGTATGGTAAGAAAAAAACAGCTGTCTGGGTCATAAAACGCAACTACACCCTGGCAAGCAATTACCGTTTAGATATGCCCAGATATGAGAGTCCGAAAGGGACAGTGACAGAGCAGAGAGAGCACCACCAGAGTGGGAGAGCGGGGTGTGGAGAGGCGAGAGGGGAAGGGAAGAAATGTTTTTTTTTTTCTGTAACTGAGACGTCCATTTCGACGTTCCGTTCCATTCGAGGGTCGTTTTACTGGAGGAGGGTGGGGGGTTGGGGGTTGGCTTGTCGTCGTCGTCGTCGCCGTCGCCGTCGCCGTCAGGGTCCCTCCTCCTCAAAGTATGCGTGACGTGACTGTCTTTTCCCTAGACCTCTCTTCCACACATACATATAAAAATAAGTATACGTGCATCTGTGTGTGTTTGTGTGGGTGAAAAAAGCCAGTGAAAGTGGCATCAGAAGTGACACATAAAGCTCATAAATTGTCGCGCACTCAATATGCATCGATGGTTGGGGCAGGTGGGCTGGCGAGGGGGACTGGGAATGGGAATGGGAATGACTGGCACCCCCCTGTAAGGTGGTAAAATCAATAACGATTGCCCATATCATGGATAGAAATGGGCATGGGCATAGGCATGGGGCATGGGGCATGGGGCATGTGGCTGAAATGGATGCCCTCGAGGGCATGCCACTGTACTAGGTGAAATCGATGAATAGCCAAAGCGTCAGGCAACAGACAACAGACACCAGACACCATTATTATATTCCATTTATGCAGTTCATATCGCACTCAATGCAAGGCACAAATGGGAAAATGGAGTACTGATTGTTATTTAATCAATTGTTTACATGCCATTGAGCCACACTAAAAGGTTTAATTAATATTTCAATTAAACTTTCAGCACCAAAGAGTTACTTGATAAAGTAAGTGAAAAAGCCATTTCAGATTGCATTCGATATTTGCAAATGAGTGTAGTCACTCGTAATACCCCATAGAATAAAAAAAAAAATAAATGATTAAAATCATTCAACAACTCTCTTCAAAGTATTTCCTCTTCGTTTTTCGCATTTTGCATTCATTCAATATTAAATACAACTGAGATTTGCCCAACGGCTGCTTCACATCAATTAAACAAATGAATTCCATGGCTTAAATATATCCACGAGGGCTCCCATTTTGCCCCGCTTTAAAATTCGCTTAAAATACCCGCCCCCCAAAAAAAAAAGTTTTCCCCACTCTCCGTTTTTCCTACCCATTTTTTCGTTCCTGCAAAAAATTGCGCATAAATTTCCTGGCAAAACTGTCGAAAAAAGAAAGGAAAGGAAATGCTTTTCAGGCACACACACCGAACAATTCCGCAACAGACGTCATAAGCAGTGGAAATAAGTAAAGAAAGGAACCAAGGATTTATAGCCAGAATAAGAAATCGAAAAAAAGTCAAGGAAACCCGAAAGAAATCGAAGGAAAAAACCTAGAGGAAAATCAATTGAAATTCGAAGAACGGAATGACGTTTGAAAAGCTATTTTTTTTCGAGTGGAACAGAGTTATTAGTAGAGAGATAAAATGCGTAATATTTGTCAATTGCAGTCAACGAAGGAACCATAAGCCTCAAAGGGCAGACAGCTTTACGCAAGATGTTTTTGAGCCAAGAGGTTTGAGGAAATGGGAGCAGATATAGGGCCAATTGAGCATTTAAGTGGCCAAATAAAACCAACTAATGTTAGGGAAAATACTTATTTGATTTGAGGAAATGCACAGGAAATTCTTTGCTCAAAGAAGGCTTTGAAATTTGGTTGAACAGAGTGGGACCAAGGATAAAATAAAATATATAAATAGCTTGAATATTGAGGAAAATGTCCATTCAGCAACGCCCTAAAATTTTTCCACATTTCTAAAATTTAAATCCTCAATTTATAAACATTTCCTTTCTACTCTATTTCCATCATATTTCCATATGGATGTTTAGGTGTTTTCCCCAAGCGTTTGGTGTCATTTTAATTGGTATTCCCGCCATAAGGCAGCCCCACGCATATTGCTCTTTGCTGTTGTCCTTCCAGCTTCTAATGTCCAACACATGTATGTAGTTTATGCCATCGTTCATGTCCTCGCTGTAACCTCCTGCCTACTGCTCCCTCCCTCTATTGCAGAGCTCCCATTTTCGGTGTTATTTTCCATTCTGTATCGATGTCAGTGCAGTATACTGGCGGCGGACCCAGACCCTCAAGCGTATGCTTTAGTTTTTGGGGGCACCCCACAAAAACATGGGGAATATATTTGCGAAAATATATATTTAGTGCTTTGCCATCTGCCGCACCGCCCCGTCAACCCCGC